AGAGAGAGAGAGAGAGAGTGAGCACAGGCAGACAGAATGGCAGGCAGAGGCAGAGGGAGAAGCAGGCTCCCTGACGAGCAAGGAGCCCGATGTGGGACTCGATCCCAGGACGCTGGGATCATGACCTGAGCCGAAGGCAGCTGCTTAACCAACTGAGCCACCCAGGCGTCCCATTGGGGGAAGATTTTCATTCATCACCAGGGCTATTTTTAATCCTTGATTAGAAATCGCATTTCTAGAAGTTGTACACTGGGCCGCAGAAAAAGCACCCAGGGTGTGCTGAGGTCCTCTGGATCTGTGCTGTTTGGGGCTGGTGTGGCTTCTCTGCAGAGACTGCTCTGCAGGTGTGCACATTTCAAAACAAATAGAAAACTGGGCAGCAAAGGGGATCATTGTATTTCTGTGTTCATCCTCTGCACCTTAACCACCTTGAGTTATTTGCAGTGTCATGTTTGAATTTGTAGCAGAGAATAACATGTTAACAAGAGGGAAGGCTTTGATGTGACTAGAAACTAGGTTCTTATCAGTGAAGAAGATTTCATAGTTTTTTGTTTGTTTTAAGGATAGTAAGGAAGTCAAGAATTTTTTGTTCCAGAAGAGTAGTATTTTTTACACACATACTATTCTCATAATCTGGTCACTGAAGGGACGTGTAAAATAAAGCAGGTATAAACAGTTTGAGGGGCGCAGTTTGTAACAATACCTTCCATTTGTGTGACAGTTTATGAAATGCAAAGGCCACAAAAACATAAATGTGCTTCTCCTTTGCTCTTGGCAACAACCTTATGAGACATTGAAGTGTAGAGAGAGCTTGTATTTATTATTCTGTTTTACAGATGAGAAAACAAAGACCCCAAGAAGTCATGGGCACAAAACCAGCTATTAAGTAGCAGAGATGAGACTGACTACAAAAACCTAGATGTTATGACTGCTAGGCTCGTGAACTTTCCACTCTCCCGTGCTACCTGCAAGAATTAAAGAAGACCTAAGTGGTATAGAAACTTCATAGGCATTTAATTATACCTGTATATATTTTTTTGCATCCTTAATGGAAACCATTTAAAGTTTGATATAAAAAAGACGGAAAAATCTAAAATAAGTGTGCTATAATGGGACTTTTTTTTTTTTAAAGACTATTTGAGAGAGCAACCGAGTGAGAGCAAGAGTGGAGGGGAGGGGCAGAGGGAGAGGGGAGAAACAGACTCCCCGCTGAGCTGGGAGCCAGATGCGGGGCTTGTTCCCAGGTCTCTGGGATCATGATCTGAGCCAAAGGCAGACACCTAACGAACTGAGCCACCCAGGCCCCCCCTCTATTGTGAAACCTTTTAAATCGTCATTTATGCAGCCCGGTCTTTAGGATAATTTGGGTTAGTTTTGTGTGGGAGAAAGATAATCAAGATGATCCAAAGGTCCCTCTTTTTTCTGTAAACCTCTGGAGAATCAGATGTTGAAAAATGAAGCGAAGCAAGACAAAAAGCTTTGAGTATATACAGTGGTGCTCTTTCTTTAAAACTCTTCTGGAGGAGCACCTGGGTGACCCAGTCTGTTATACATCTGACTTTGGCTCAGGTCATGATCTCAGGGTCCTGAGATGGAGCCCTTATCAGGCTTTCCGCTCAGTGGGGAGTCTGCTTATCCCTTTGCCCCTCCCCCCACTTGTTCTCTCTCTCTCTCTCTCTCTCTCTCTCTCTCTCTCATTAAAAAAAAGTCTTGAAAAACTTTTGGAGAATTTAGTTAAACCCAAATGAAATTTAACTTCATACTGACTAAATTTCACATTTAGAATGAGCGTAACAGTTTGAAATTTGGGTGTTTGCCAGCTGTATTCTTGAACTTGTCAGGCAGATGTTAGATGGGTTTTGCCTCGGTTTGTCAGACCCTTCCACTGTTTTGACCATGTGGTAGATCGTAACCCAAAATAAATTTTAATTAAGAATCATGAGCCAACATACCTAGGAGTCTCCTTTCAGTTCAGAACTAGAAATAGAGTCTCTCATTTAGTCGAATGTTCATCCCTCTATCAGAGGCTTGCTTCTTAGGGAGAAGCGGCTTAGTTATGGCCCGGTATTCTGTACTGGGGTCCTCTGGTTACAGTTGTTCAAAATACAGAGAATGGACACTGGCTCCAAGAACATTTAGACCTGCCGTTATGGTGCAGGGAGAGCCATCTTGTGCTATTTCTGTCTCAGACCCTGTTACTGGGATCCACTCAGAGTTCTTGTGCAGACAGCTGCCAGATAGCCTGTCAGCAGCAGACTTACCAGTGTCCGCTCTGCTCTGTGGTCCTCTGCAGTCTGAACTAGAGAGAGTGAAAAAAAGATCATAACCGCTAGTGACTCTAGGGATATGGCCCATTATTTAATAATGATACGGCGTCAGCTATTGGACAGGTTTGAGGAAGAGTTCTCATAGGGTTTTAACCAGCTCTGAGGAGAGCTTGGGAGTTTAGTGTACTTCATTTTGCATTTGTATGCTGATTTTTTTTTCTCACTTCTTGAATCCTTGCACTTGGCTAAAGAAGTGTGAAATCTCTTAGTGACAACAGAGAGAATCCTGTGGTTGGTTGGGTTGAAACCTTTTTTTTTTTCTCTTTTTTTCTTTTAGAGAGAGAGAGCTGGGAAGATGCAAGGTACAGAGGGAGAGAGAAAATCTCAAGCAGGTTCCATGCCTGTCATGGAGCCTGACACGGGGCTCGATCTCACAACCCTGAGATCATGACCTGAACTGAAATCAAGAGTGGGGCACCCAACAGACTGAGCCACCCAGGTGCCTCTGATTAGTTTATAATTTAGTTCCATGTGGTCAGGGAATGTATTTTCTATGATTTGAATCCTTTCAAGTTTGTTGCAACCTTTAGAGCCCAGAATTCAGTCTTCTGTCTGAATGATGATAATGTTGCTCTAGTTTTCTAAATCCTTATTGATTTTCTGTTTACTTTCAGTGATTGAGAGAGGGATTTTGAAATCTAGTACAATCATGGATTTGTTTATTTCTCCTATCAGTTTTCACGCATTTGGAAACTCTGCGACCAGGTATATAATAAATAGGACTGTTACAACTTCTTGGTAATTGACCTCTTTATCATTACGAAATGACCTTTACTTCTGTTAATGCTCTGTTCTGAAATCTGTCAGATAATAATGTGGACATTCTACCTTGTACTTGTACTAAAAAAAAGATTTACTTATTTATTTGAGAGACAATGTGTGAGAGGGCCAGCTAGAGGAGAGGCAGAGAGAGAGGGAGAGGGAATCCCCAAGCCGACCCCCTGCCAAACACCGAGCCCAACGCAGAGCCCTAGCCCAGGATCCCAAGATCCCAACCTGAGACAAAATCAAGAGTCAGCTGCCATCTGACTGAGCCACTGGGACCCCTCCACCTTGCTTTTGTCAGTGTTGGCATGGTGTATCATTTTCCATCCTTTTACTCTGAACCTATCCATTCCTTTATATTTAATGTGGATATTTTTATAAGTAGCATGTATCTGGGTCTTGCAGTTTTAAAGTCCGTTCTGATTTTCTCTGCTTTTTAATTGGTTGGTTCGACCGTTTACATTTGTTATGATTATTAACCTCTATCATATCACCGCCTGTCTCCAAGTGGTGTTCTACCATTGCAGGTAGTAGTAGTAGATTCCCCCCTCCAGCCTTTGTGCTCTGTTGCTCTCCATTTTGCTTCTACAGATATTGCAAACCTCATAAGATATTGTTACTATTTTTGTTTCAGTAGTGGAATTATCTTTGAAAGATACTGAAATAATAAGAAGAATGTAGTTATACTGTTTCCGCTACTCTTTGTTCCTTTGAGTGGATGCACCTTTTGTTCTGGTGTCATTTTACTTCTGCTCCAACATTTCTGATGGCTGTCTGCTGCTGCTGCTGCTTCCGCTGCTTCTGCTGCTGCTGCTGCTGCTGGAACCCTCCAGCTTTGGCAAGTCTGAAAAAGTCTTTGTTTCACCTTTGTTTTGGAAGATTTTGTGATGAGTATAGAATTCTAAGTTGATGGGTTTTTCTTCCAGTCCTTAAACTTTTTTTTGCCTGATTATCTTCTCCTTTGCATGTTTCTGACAAGAAGGTTGGTGTCCTTATTCATCCTTTGCTGTGTTCTACATAGTGTGTCTCTTCTTCCCAGCAGTTTTGAGCTTCTTCCCTTTACTATTTGTTTGGACAGTTTTGCTGCAGGAAGCCTAGGTGTCAATTTTTTTATGTTTCTTATGTTTAGAGTTTATTGAACTTCTTGAATCTGTGCTTTTAGCGGTCATCAGTTTTGGGGAAAATGTTGGTCATTATTTTTTCAAATATTTCTTGACCCCTTCTCTTTCTCTTCCAACTAAACGTATCTTAGATTTCTGAAAATTGTCACCCAGCTTGCCGAAGCTGTGTTATTTCATTCCTTTTCTCTCTGTGTTTCACATTGTATGGTTTCTTTTGCAGTTTAAGACTCTGGACTCTTTCCTTCTGAAGTGGCTGATCTGCCATTACCCCATGCTGCCTGCTTTTCCTCTCTGATATTGTAGTTTTCATTTGTAGATGTTTGACTTTCAATCTTCTATATTTTCTGTTCATCACATATATGGTTTTTTGTCCTAGTAACTGCTTCAGAGTCCTTTTTGCTAATCTGACATTTGTATCAATTCTTAGTTGGTTTCAGTGAGTTTATTTTTCTCTTAATTTCTGCTTCTGCTTTGCATGTCTGCTAATTTTTTATTAGGTGCCAACCATTGTAAATTTTACTTTTTTTAAAAAAGATTTTACTTGCTTGAGAGAGCACGAATGAGGAGAGGAGTAGAGGGGGAAGAAGAAAGAGGGGGAAAAATCTCCAGTAGACTCCATGCCAAGCTTGGAGCCCAATGTGGGTCTCGATCCATGACCCTGAGATCGGGACCTGAGCCAAATCCAAGAGTCAGACGCTAAACCGACTGAGCTATCCAGGTGCCTCTAAATTTTACTCTGTTAGGTGCTAGGTATTTTTTGTGTTCCTATAAACTTTTTGAGGTTTGTTCTGGGACCATAGTGAAATTAGAAATAGTTTGGTCCTTTCAGGTCTTTCTTTTAGGATGTGTTAGGCACACACTGTTTTCTGTTTAGAGCTAGTTGCTTCCCCTTTTAAAATTAGGAACCTTCCAAGGACCCAGTGTCCCTGAACTTACTGTGTAGTTATCATGAAATGCAAGAAATGAAGTCTTAAATCTTTGGTGAAGAGTCTTTCAGACTTCACGCAGGGGGAGGAGCAGGCAGCGGGAGAAGCAGGATCCCCACAGAGCAAGCAGCCTGATGTGGGGCTCAATCCCAGGACCGGGGGTCATGACCTGAGCTGAAGGCAGACACTTGCTTAACCAACTGAACCACCCAGGCACCCCTAAAATCATTTTTTTTAAGAAAAGATTTTTTTTTTTAATTTTTTAAAGATTTTTTTTTTTTTTTTAATTTGACAGAGAGAGATCACAAGCAGGCAGAGAGGCAGGCAGAGAGAGAGGAGGAAGCAGGTTCTCTGCTGAGCAGAGAGCCCGATGCGGGGCTTGATCCCAGGACCCTGAGATCATGACCTGAGCTGAAGGCAGTGGCTTAACCCGCTGAGCCACCCAGGCGCCCCAAGAAAAGATTTATTATATTTTTAGAGAGGGAGTGCATGAGTGGGGTGAGTGGCAGAGGGAGAGGGAAGGGATCTCAACCAGACTCCCTGCTGAGCAGGGAGGGAGCCTGACAAAGGACTGAATCTCATGACCTTGAGACCATGACTGGAGCCTAAATCAGGTGTTGGATGCTTAATGGACTGAGCCACCCAAGTGCCCCTGAAAGTGACTTTTGGTAGCCCTCCTATTGTCTGTTAAAATTCATGCACAATCTGAGCTGATGAGATCTCCTGTCGCTGTGGTAGTTTCCATCTTCTCCTGGCATGAGTGATTTAACAAGGCCGTTAGATTAGTTTGACATATGAAAGTAGGTTAACTTAAGGGAAAAAGCTATTAAGAGCATGGCATCCTTCACGCAAGTAGGCAGACCGTCAGCCGAGGTATAGTAGAATAAAGCAGGTCTAACCATCCAGCCTGGCATGGCTCTGAGCCAAATCCGTGGTTTACCTTAACTTTTATGAAATAAGTAGCGAGCAGCCATGCAAATCTTTTAGCCATAGAAGATGATTGACTACGATTATGAGACCTTCAAGTTAAAGGACTACTTTTTAACAATGGTGTAAATGGAATTACTATGCAGCTGCTTGTGTCTGTGAACACTCAAAAATGCACTAGTGATTTGTTACCATGCAAATTCTTTCAGCATTACGGATGAACAAAATTTTGTTAGCTCAGTCTCTCGGCATCGGTGTGACGGAGCACGAGCACAACAATGTAGATTTTGGAGTTTCTCTTTCTTTTAAATGATATTAAGCTTAAAATTTTGAGATGTCACTTATTTTAAAATGTTAAACATTATAATAAAAAAGAAATCCGTCTTCTAAGACACCAAATTTCAAAAAACAGTTCATTTGGGGTTTTTTCCCCCCAAAAGATTGGTAATTTATATCTATATATAATGCGTACCTTTTTCTCTCTCTCTCTCATTTTCGTAGGTTCTGCCGGAGACTTCCATTTGGCCTCAATGTGAAAGTAGAGTAGAAAATCGCATCTACATGTGTATTGCTATCAGAATGTTGATTCATTGGTCATGCCTGAAGAGGGAAATTCTGTCCTAATGGCTGACTGCCAGCGAAAATAGATGCTTATCCTAGATGTCAAGCATCTCTCCTTTTTACTGGAGTGAAAATTCCCTCCAGATACCAACAGAACATCAACTGCAGAAAATGCTTCACATTTTAAGGATGTCAGCAACCTAAATTCATGCGCCCTGTCTGCACGGTAGCTGTGGATGGTTTACCATCTGAAAGCTCCTCAAGCTCTTATCCAGGCCCCGTATCTGTTTCTGAAATGTCTCTGCTTCATGCTCTGGGCCCAGTGCAGACCTGGCTGGGGCAGGAGCTGGAGAAATGTGGCATCGATGCCATGATTTATACCCGCTATGTCCTCAGTCTTCTGCTGCATGACAGCTACGATTACGACCTGCAGGAACAGGTACTTCCCCCTTGTTGTGCTTTGGGACAACTCCCTGTTGTGTCTGCATGTTTGCATTTCTCTTCCTGGAGTGCTTTTATGCTGTAGGACAGGCTTGTCAGTGTGCCGGCCACACACACCTGTCCTGTCAGGCTTAGGGGAGTGGTCCCAGCGGGTAGTCCAGCTGCTTGCTCTGGGGGGAGACCTCCTCCATGTGGACCGCACCCTGGCTCAGCTCTGGTTGTGGGCAGGGCAGATTTGGGGACCTGCCTTGGAGGAGTGCTGCTCTCTGCTGGTTAGGCGCCTCATACGGGACCACTGGGCCTAGTGACCCTTGTGTCTGTGATCCTTAACATGCTAGGGGTGAGTATTTCCTTTTCATGTTAAATTGCTGGTTAACCAAAGTGTGTGTTATAAACCAGTGGACTTAGAAAGCTGAGTAAAGCACGTAATGGTGTAAGTCATTGTAGGTCACCCGTGAGTCGGCCATTATGCATTTTATCTGATGGCGGGGCTGAGTGGAAAGTGAGAAAGTAAGCAAATCTAGGTTCTTGAGAAAAAAGAAGAAAAACCAGTACTAGTCCCACCCTCTGAGAGTTGCTTCTGAAAGTGAGGTCTGCCCAGAGGGCAGCACAGTTGTCACTGGTGACCACAGGGGCTCTGGGCGGCTTCTGTGTGCAGAGTTCATGTGAAACCAGGTGGTTTGTGGCTGTTTTTGTTGTTTGTGTTTTAAACCATTATTGCTAACGCTGAAAGCAGGAATAAAGTTCCACTGACAGAACAAGTGGCTTCACCCTTCCAAACCACAGAAAAGCCTCCAAGTACTATAAATCCATTGTTTCCCCACTGTGTTTAGCGCTCGTCACGCATCAGCTGTGTGGAGTGTGTCCTCTTCTGCTGGTGCTCCTTACCCGTCCTCGCTGGACGCGGCAGTGTGTTCCTGCTTATGGGGTGCTTACTGCCTTGGCTGCTGAGAATGAGGTTCGCATTTTCGGGGGGTTGAGTTATAACCCAGTAATCAGAAAACATGTCGTGTTGGTAATCACTATTTTGTATAATTTCCTTACTAAGGCTCTACTATTTCCTGTCATCTTCCCAGCAAATGTAACACTTAGGACTGTGTGTTAACAGTATCCACCTGGAATATTTTATCGCCACCAGTAAGTTTATTAGCACAAAGTATTGACGTACTGCATGCTGTAGGGCATTGAGAAGGGAATGAAACACGGGCCTACCGTGTGGGTTATAGTTGACACCTCTCTGATAAGACATGTCTGTGATTCCTCTGGTTCCTTTCTTAGGAGAGCCTGAGGGTCAGGCAGGGGCAAGGCAGCTCTCGGTGCCCAACTTGATCCTCCTTCCAGAGTGCTGCTTTGTCTTTAGGGAGCAGGACAGATAAAGGTTAGCGAAAACACAATGTGTCTGGAGTTGCAAGGAGAATCCAAAGGGAAATAAAGGCTCCCAAAATACTCTTGCCCTCAACCCAGTGCTGAGTCCCGTGCGGATGGGGAAGGTCGAATTGAAAACAATACTTGTTTTAGTAAGGGGTGGCCTAGGAGGTCAGTTAGCCCTGGTGATCCTTTCCCATGACTCTGGGGGAGGATGGGCTCACTGTACCCCCAGAAGGAGAGTTTAGGCTCAGAGCCGAGGCCAGTCTCCGAGCCTCGCCCACCTTCTGTGGTTCAGACGCCAGCCAGTTGTAGTTCTTGATCCCTGGGTCAGAGTGTGGTAGCCTCGCTCCTCATGTGGAGGCCAGAAGACTCTCCTTTGGGGGTCTGTTTCCTTGAGAGTTTCGCACCTTCTGTCCATGAATGAGTCTAATCTTGACTTGCACCTGACTAGTTTTAGGGCTATTGGTGCTGCCACATTTAATCCCTCATTTTTCCTAATCTTGGTTAAAACAACCCTACAAAGAGCTCCTGAGTCCTAAGAAACAGATTATGCACAGGACTTTGGTCTCCGCTGCCCCTGCCCCGGATGATAGGATAGGAGAAAGGCTGACCCGCCGTGGTCCTGTGAGGTGGGATGCCCAGCAGAGTTGCACAGGGTTATAATTGCAGCGGTGGCATTGCTGGTTCCCCGGGCGGCCCTGGAGAGGAGCACCTCTGACAGGTGGACACTGGGGATGCCCCACAGTTATTTTTTGTTCTTGTTTTGTTTTTAAGATTTTATTGATTTATTCAATAGAGAGAAAGAGGGAGAGAGAGCATAAGCGGGGGGAGCAGCAGGCAGAGGGGGAAGCAGACTCCCCACTGAGCAGGGAGCCTGATATGGGGCTTGATCCCAGGACCCTGGGACCATAACCTGAGCTGAAGGCATATGCTTCACCGATTGAGCCCCCCAGGTACCCCCACAGCCACTTTGTTTCCACAAATTCTTCTTTCTCTTTCTCCTTCCTTCCTTTCTCCTTTGGCTCACAATTACCATGATCCGGTAAGGGCACTCGCAGCCCCCTAGGAGCTCGCTTCTTGTCACTTTCAGATGTAGGTAGGAATCCAAGTTCTAACCTGCCCTGTGGGGTGAGGCCCCTGCGGCTACGCCCTGTGAGGCCTCTGCTCGCTCCCCCACGTGACTGCGTCCTCTGCTTCCAGACTCAGTGTTTCTGCTGGAGAGCTCGTCTTTGCAGCTGTTAGAAAGTATTGTCTTTCCCAGGGGTTTATAAGGTCTTTGAGCACAGAAATCAGATTTTCATCTTCTTCTTTTTTTCAAGATTTTATTTATTTGGGAGAGAGAGAAAGAGGGAGAGGGAGAAAAAGCACAAACCAAGGAGTTGGGGGAAGGCAGGGGGAAAAGCAGACTCCCCCACAGAGCAGAGTACCCAGCGTGGGGTGATCCCTGGACCCTGAGATCGTGACCTGAGCCTAAGGTGGATGCCTCACTGACGGAGCCCCCCAGGCGCCCCCAGATACTCATTTTCTTAAACATTTTTGACTTCACATGAAAGAATTCCAAACATCCGAGTGACAAAGCAGGACGAGGAACTCTTGTGGACTCTTTACTCAGTTACCTGTTGCCCATATTTTCCTGCTTTTGCTTTATTTCTCTCATTTTGATACTCACCCTAAATAAATCAGCACATGTTTCTTAAGACTGGACTTTCTCTTAGATAGCCACAATAGAAAATTCAGGAAAATTAACACCAGTGCGTTAGTATATAACATATGTCCTTGTTCCCATTTTATCCATTGTCCCAGTAATTTCCTGCATCATGGCGTTCCCCTAGTCCAGGATCCAGTTGAAGACCACACACGGACTTCACTGGTTGCTGGTCTTGACTCCTTTAATCTGGAATAGTTCCATGTCTTTCTTTGGGGCTCACAGCTTTGACATTTGTGAAGATAGCAGGCCAGTTTTGCAGCGTTTCCTTCAACCTTGGGTTCGCCTGATGCTCGCTCTCATTTAGCGTCAGTGTGTGCTGATGGCAGTGATGTTTCATGAGCCTGGGGTTCCCTTTCTTCCCCTGCGCCACAGCGGACGCAGACATCGGTTTGCTTCGTGGTGGCAGTACTGGCTTTGGTGACGTCTGCCAGATCTCCACTCTTCTCTGTGTAACCATCCAGTGGCCCGGGCGGGAGACTGGCACTTAGGCTGTGCCTGGGTGATTCTGCCAGAATCACTTGTACCTGGTGATTTTTCTAGCTCCGTGGTCCCCTCTGCATTCACTAGCTGGCCTTCCTGGACGAGGGGAACGCTGGGCCCGTCATGCAGAGAGCACCGCAGCAGGCCCAGGGCAGCGCCAGCCGTGTGCTCTGGGGACTGTGGTAGTCTTCGCTCCATAGCTTGCAGGTGAGTAGTAGTATGTTCCTCTTGTGTGGACATGGACGTTCAGAGGAGTTTTGGTGACCTTCCTGAGGCCACACAGTACTGAGTCAGAGTGTAGACTCGTGTCTGCCAGACCCAGATCACGTGCCCACTTTTATGTCAGGGAGTGTTTTGTTTTTGTTTTCATATATAACAGATAATTATTGAACACTTTCTCATAAAGGCAAGCTTTAGAAACCACGTGGAATTGGTTTAATTTTTTTCTAATGTTCTCACGATTTGTAGAGGTGGGGAAAAATCCATTTGTATTAGTTGACATTTGAATTAGGAGTTGAGTCCCTGCAAAGTAAAAGTGAGGGCCATGGCAGCATGCACTGCCAGGAAACTCAGAGCATCAGGTCTCTGAGTGTTAAACTGGATTTAAGTTCTTTAAAAATACACACAGACACACACGTTTTAAGTATAAGCAAGTTTCACGCCCAGTGCGCAGCCCAGTACAGGCTTAAAGCCATGACCCTTAGATCAGGACCTGAGCTGAAATCCAGAGTTGGACGTCTAGCAGACTGAGCCACTCACCTGCCCCTCAGAAATACCAGATAGTCTTACTTAATATTGGTTAAAAGGGAAGCTTACAGTAAAAACTGTAATTTAAAGGGAGTGGGAGTTTCCTTTTCTTGCCTCAAGGTTATGCTGGGTTGATGGTCAACGGCAAGTTCCCCATAATCTTTCGTGAGTTGGAAGAGTTATTTTAGGAAGATAGGACTGCCTTTCACTACCCCATTTCTTAGAACTCCACATCTTCTGAATTTTCTTCTATAATTAGTAAATTAAAACTATCATCCAAGAGTTCACTGAAACATTTTTTGTGCCTGTAATATTAATGTTCTCAGCATCATGAAGTCTGTACCAGGAGCGTGTGATGACCACAGAGAGCCCAGCTCACTTGTGCTCACACGGAAGTGGTGGTCCAGACAAGCGTACACGCCCCTCGAGCAGTGAGCCAGCCGCAAGGCGGCACTCACCCTCCCAGCCCGCTGCCTTACCATTGGCACACGGGAGGGACTTAGACATGGTGGTGAAGCCACTTGCCTAGCATCACAAAGCCGGTCAGTTGGGAGCCTTTATTGATTAAAAACTTGAAATGTCCAGGGATGCCTGGCTGGCTCAGTGAGGCTGCAATTCTTTTTTTAAAGATTTTATTTAACACAGAGAGAGATCACAGGTAGGCAGAGAAGCAGGCAGAGAGAGAAGGGGAAGCA